TTTGTTTTTCTAAGTGAGGATTGATCATCTTACCCCAGGTCCTCTTTCTTGTTTATCTTCTTTACGTGTACAGATTTCAGTATGTACCTATAAGTGAGTATATACCATGTGTATATCTGGGCACAGAGGTCTTTTATGAGACTGTATCTCCAACCAAGGACCATGTATGGATATAACCTAAATGTACTACTCAGATGTAGCCCATGGTAGCTCACTATCCAAGTGGGTTCCCTAATAAGGGGAACAGAGACTATTTCTGACATAAACTCAATGGCTGGCTCTTTGACTTTCCCCATCCCCCTTGGGAGGAGCAGCCTTGCTAGGCCACAGAGGAGGACTTTGCAGCCAGTCCTGAAGATACCTGATAAGCTAGGGTCAGATGGAAGGTGAGGAGGACCTCCCCTATCAGTGGACTTGGAAAGGGGCAGAAAGGAGATGAGGGAAGGATGATGGGATTGGAAGGGAATGAGGGAGCTGGATACAGCTGGGATACAAGGTGAATAAACTGTAACTAATATTAAAAAAAAATAAAAAATTAATAATTAAAAAAGAAACACAGCATTTTTGTGACCTTTTGTCTCCAGCCCTAAGAATCCGCTAAGAGAGGGGTAATTACCAGATGCCGTGGGGTTTTGTTTGTGAGGCCGTTTACACGCTCATAATAGTAACTGACACGGCTGAGAATGGCCGGAAGAGTGTCCGCTGTGTAAGAGACAGGGGACTAAGTTATGTTTGTTTTTATTTTCGTTCTTGTTTTGGGGGTTGAGACAATCGATGTAGTGCAGACTGCTGGGATTAGAGGTGCACTCCAATCTGATTTTGTACAGTTCTGGGGGGTGGAATCCAGGACTGTTAGAGAGTGCACAAGCATTCTACCCGCTGAGGCACACCTCCAGCCCCTCACCTGGCATTTAAACAATATTCCACTGAGCAAAGAGCAGGTCTGCATGGTAGAACTTCAGGGATACCCCAGGGGGCCCACTGTTGTGCTGTGTGGCTTGGGCTAGGTTTTGCTTTTCTTCTATAACAGTAGGCCAAAGCCATTATTCCAGAACGTATATTTTCCAGAAGAATGTGATCCATCACATTCTTTTCAATATAACCGGTCATCAATATGTTATGTTAAGGTTGTTTGCTACACAAACCACGTTGCAATGAACATTCCAGGCCAGAAATCCTTGTCCACTTTTCCTATCAGGAGCATGTGATGACTAACTTTATAAATAAGCAATACAGCATTGGCTAATAATAAGTGCTACCTAGATAAAATAAAAGCCAGTTGAGGGCACAGGAGTATCTGGGTATCACTTAGGAGTTAGGGAAAGCCTGACCGGAGCCTTTAGTGGGAATGACAGAAAAGGTGTGGTAAGACAGAATGACTGGCGACAAGGGGTGTGACAATGATGGACAGTGGCTTCCAACAGGGACAGGGACACACTGTAGACAGAGCTGTCTAACTCCCCCGGGGTAATGGCTTCAGAGGCCTCTTCCGCTCCAACACCCTCAAGTCCTACATCAAAACCTAAGAAGCCTTCTATACCAACGCGACCTTTGATTCTTAATTTTTAGATTTTCGTCCAAATTCTTAATCATTGTGATGGGGGCGGGAGAGATCACTTCTTGCTTTATGGCTACACATTTTCATGCAGAATGTTTCATTTCAAATACAGCTTTATGGCGCCTAAGTTTATTAAGACAGTATTTCTGAGAAGATTAAGATAATTTCCTATAAAGCATGTAAATCGACACTCAGTGTATAAATGCAGTCAGCGGGTCAGGAAATGAAAACTCCTTCCCCGCAGATTGCAGCTGTGTCTGTCCCGGACCAGTAATGAGTGTCAGGAAGAAGGGCTCATTTTCCCTATTGACGCTCCACTGTGGCAAACTACTTCTTCTGTGATCCCCCAGGCAACAAATGAACCATTGTGAAATCTTTTCTGGTCTTCTCAATGGGCAATTATATATATTTTTAAAGACAATAAATTTTTTGTCACGGTGCAGCTGATTACATTCATTTATAAGAATAACTAAAATGCAGGGAATCCAATTTTTGGGGTGGGCCTGGTCATGTTAAGGTACTTATCAAAGACATTATGGAATACGGCGGGCGCCTGGAGTTGAGCCTCCCCCCCGCCCCTCCCAGCAGACTGTGTGCCCTTGAATAGGCAGGGGCGCTCCTGGAAATGAGCACTGTCCATTATGCTTCAGTTCAGGGAGCTGTTGGCCAGCAGAGGCACCTGAGACAGTCACCTGGCATTGGTTAGTTTCCAGACCTTAATCTAGGGTGGAATATGTCACCGTCTACCCACTGCACCCACGGGGCATTCATTCTAGGACCCTTCTTAAATACCAGACTCCTAGGGCGCGCAAATCCCTCCATGTAGAAACAGTGCGGTATTGGAATACTGCATGCACCTACACACTTCTTGTTAAATCGCCTCTAGGTTGCTTGTGATAGCTAATACAGCATAAATGCCGTGCGCATAATTCTAGTAAGCGGTCACTCGGGGAATGACAGAAGAGGTTGGCACATATTCAGCATAAGCACGATTCTTTTCAGCCTGTAATTGGTTGGATCTATGAATGCCGAATGGGAGATAAAGAGGACCCAGTATTTGTGTTTTTTGCATAGTTCAGTTTTACTACGTTTGTGTAGATGTGTGATAGGCATTCAGTGGCTCAGGAACCTCTTTCTACTACACTCAACAGATATTGTTGGCATAAAATAAAATAAAATATAAAATAAAATAAAATAAAAAAAGGATGAGTTTCCCTCTGGATCCACTGACAAACAAAAACCCCCCCCCCAACACAAGAAACTCAATCACCTTCTCTTCAAGTCAAAGCATGATCTTTTTAAAAAGTTATTATTATTATTATTATTACTTTTAGTCATGTGTATCTGTATGTGCCTGTGCCAGAAGAGGCTTTTGAATGCCCTGGAGCTGGAATTGCAAGCAGTTGTAAACTGCTGGTCAGACACGTGGGAAATGAGCTCCAGTGCTTGCAGGAGCAGCCAATGCTCGGAAACACTGAGCCTGCCTTCCAGCCCAAAGCATTATCTTTATTTTTTTAACGTTTTCTTTTTTAAAAAATAATTTAAGTGAAAGAGCAATCAGTGAAGAAAAAAAAATTAAATGACATATGGAGCTTAATGCAGTTTCTTCCACGCTGGTTCTCCAACTCCACCTGGTGTGATTTTGTTTGTTTCTTTGTTTGTTTTGTTCTGTAATACCTTAAACTCACCAGTGTAAAGCTATGTGAAAGCCTGATTGCACGGCTGCTTTATATTAACAGAAGCATGTTCTAACACCATCCTGTGCTCCACATTTTATCACGTATTTACCTTTCTATCTATCAACCTGTGGATTTGAGATCATCACACGTGGGGATCAGCCCAGAGAACAAGAGCAGAGCAGAGCACGGGGGAGCAGACATCAGCTCATCCTTTGTGGTAGTGATTGTACAGGCTGTTATGCTGGGAGTCAGCAGTATCCGGTGGTCTGAGGATCACGGCCAACCAGGGCTACTTTGCACGTGTTAGGGGCTAAGTTAGCTCAACCCTCAAGGAAGGTTTTGTAGATTACAAAGTTTAAACACCCCCCTCAGTGCTTACCGACCTGCTCAGTGAGAACTTGCTCCTTCTCCAAGCTCTTTCTGAAAGGCATAGCAAGCCTTTCAGACTTTGGGAGTCTGCTCATCAGCATAGTGAAACCTGGATTTGGTCATTTCCCACGGATCCCCTCTGTCTTCCCAGAAGCTGAAGAAAATCAAGGGTGTAGGTTTACTTTTTAATTTTTAAATTCTTTTGTTTACATTTCTTTTATCTTTTTCTCCCTTCTCCACCGCAACTCCTTCCAACATCCCAACACCAGGTAGGAGACAGAAAGGGTTAGTGCGGGGGGGGGGGGGCTGTTTTTTCTTAGCTGCTTCCTGCTGGTCAAGGTCATCGGGTTCCTTGGAACCAGTCTAATCCTCATTTCAGGAGATCTTCAACTTCTCGTCTCAAAACAGCAGACAGGAGCAGCAAAGGGGAAGCAGGAGCAGCCTTGTTCTTTCTCCCCTACCCACTCTCTGGACTCTGGCATTTATTCTCTCTCTGGAGTCCTCAGATTTAAACTATCTGCAGCCGGCAAAGAGCTCCTCTCAGAGCCCACACGAAGCAAATAGTCTGCTGCTGTAGACCATCTGAATCAGTCTTATATCCCACACCTGAGACCAAAACAAAAACAAGTTTATAGCCACAGCACAGGGGGGTTCTCTAGATGAGCTCTCATATCAAATATACATAAGTCTTTAAAAAGTTTCTTTGCAGTTTGATGCTATTCTAGGGGCCGACGTGTGGCCTCGTGCTAGCTACACAGGACTCTGCCACTAAGCTATATCCCTATTCTTTAACTTTAGTTATAGGGTCTCCATACATTGACCAAACTGGCCTTGACCTCGCTCTGTAGCCCAGACAAAGCCTTGAATTTGCCATTCTCTTGCCTCAGCCTGTGGAATGGTTGGGATTACTGGCCCTACTCCACCATGCTTGACTCTTCAGGTCGTTTGTTTGTTTTCTATTTGTTTGGTTTGCATATGTGTTCATCTTGACATTATAATTACATAATTTTCCCCTTCTATTTCCTTGTTTCAAACAAGCCTCCTGGCTTTTCCATGGCCTCTTTTGTGGTCAATTGTCATTGCACAACCTATATGTATATATACAATATTCCTAAACACATACATGCACCCCGCTCGGTCTATATGATGTTACTTGTATAAGTGGTTTTAGGGCTGACCAAAATCATATAGCCCACTGGTGTGCTCCTCCCTGGGGAAGACTATTTCTCCTGCTCTCAGAATTCCTTAGTGACTTCTTTTCCTCAGACATGTGCATATTACCCTGACGTTGCTTCGTGGCTTTTCCAAGCTGTTTTCTGCTTGTTTGAATAAATGATATCTTCTTCCAAACCCACTGCCTACTGTTTGCTACTAATCACCCTCTCTCTTCACAGATCCGAGTGATGGTGGACCTGTGCAACAGTACGAAGGGCATCTGCCTTACAGGTAGGCTTGTGCGTGTATCAACACAGGGGCTAGCCAAAGAGCCAGGGGCAGAAAACGTACCTTAGGGCCCTTGGTTACAAAAATGCTTCTTCTTTCTTTCACCAGATGTTTTTAATGGAAAGAAAACCAATTGTAATATGATTATGAAAGTATTATTTTTCTGGTATTGTCACAGAAATGTGGCCATGGAAAATAACTAGGACTTGAGTAATTAGAAATGTGTGTGACCCTAAACAAGGGCCAAGGATTTTCTTCAACCACTAGCTTTAAAGGGGAAAATAAAGAAGGGAAAAGAGCTACAGGGCAGAGCTCTCTTTTATGAGAAGTGCTGTGACGCCCAAGATGTAATTCTTTCCCTGTATCAGGTGTGCAGCATAGACAGACAGTTCCGGACCAATGTGCCAGGCCATCACCAAGCACTGTTTCTCTATTTTTTCCCATTATCTTTATGTCTGTGGGGGAGGAGCATGTGCATGCCATGACGTGCATGTCAGGGGTCAGAGGACAACCGTACAGAGTTGGTTCTGCCCTTTAACCTTTACGTAGGTTCCGAGGATCAAATTCAGGGCCCCGGGGTTGCACACCAGGCATGCTGTCTGCTGAGCCACTTCCACGCAGCATCTCTAGAGCTGCATTCCATATGCTAGGTGGGCTTACCGTCTGGCTGTGCCGCTTGCTTATTCCTGCTTCCAGTGGCTCAGGGACACATACAAAAGAGCCAGCCAGGAGGGGTATCAAATCCTGGGTCAAGGAATGGATAAAAGAAAAATGTGTGTGTGTGTGTGTATGTGTGTGTGTTGTGTTGTGTTTTGAGGGAGGAGGTTGGTTTTGTTTGTTTTTAACATAGGAGCTTGCTCTGTAGCCCAGGCTAGCCTCAGATGTGTGACAGTCTTCCTTCCCCAGCCTCCTGGGTTCTGAGTTTGTGGGTGTATACATGCCCAGTTGTGGTGTGGTTTTCTGGATGTAAGCCTGGAAGAAGCCTGCTACTAAGGTGAAGGGCCTGCCCTGTGAAGGTGAGGGCAACCAGGAGGTGGAGGCAAAGGAGAGCCCAGGTTCAGAATAGTCACCCTCACTGACCCCTAAGCGGAGGGACACTCTGCCCTTCCAGAGAATGGTAGCATTGTGAGGAGAAATGGAAAATAATTATGTTCCCATTAAAAATAGTAGAAACGAAGTGAAGAAACACTTCAGTGGACTCTAGATGATGTCCACAAGGCCTTGAGGACAAAAGCTTTTGCAAGGACTCTGAGGTTGCTGTCCCAGGTGCCGGGGAGAATACTTGAGCACCTCACAGGGTAAGGAGGTCCTGCACCGCCAGTATCCAGATGTCAGGGAACTGGCAAGTTTCTAGAGCATTTGCCTCAGTTTCTCTCCTTATGTGGGAGTGAGTTTGTCTAAAGGATGAACTTGTGGCTTACGTGAGTGAGTAAATAAAGATGGAACCTCAACTCCAAGGCTAACTCTTGTTCCCTTATTTTGGCCTCAGAGAGGAAAGCTGTAATCCTGTGGCTTCTTGGGAAATGCTAATTGAATTACTTAAGTGACATTCGGCCCTCACAGAAAATGAAATATCTTCAGAAAGCCCCAGTCCTTTGTCCAGAAACTCTCGTGGTGGAAGCGCCTCCCATCCATCTGTGGGAGTCCCTCTTTAGAGCTCCCACATGTGACAGTAATGAATGCTACAGAAATGCTGAGACGACCGAAACAAAGGCCTTGAGAGGCACAGAAAAAGCCTCTTTCTTATTTTTATAGAGACCTGAGAGGCAGGCTCACGGTGAATGTGCGGGATGGAGCTATTGAGACCACTCAGAGGAGGGTGACGACGGGGACGGGAATGGTGGAAATGGGTTGAGTAGGCAATTTTTTTCTCACCTCAGAACAGGCTTTCAAAAGCCAACACTCTCTTCTTTCATGCCAGCTTGAAATTGAATCTCCTTTTGCACAGAAGCTCTTCAATTAAAAACTTAAGTATGAAAAGTGTAAGTTTCAAAGCAAGTAGATGCTTTGGGACAAACCAGACTGTTTGTATTGGGGGTGGGGACAGAAGGATGAGCAGCAGAACCCAGGACTGGATTGGGCAACTTTGGTGGTCGGCAGAGAGCCTTGGTCCATGGACTAGTGTGGGTTCTGGCCAGGAGGGTAATCTAGGTAGAGCTGGACTCGGGCCCCCGAGATGGGCCTGATTCTATAGTAGATTCATCTTTTTATCTCAGGGGGCTGGAGAGGTGGGTCTGAGCTTAAGAACACTGGCTGCTCTTCCAGAGGTCCTGAGTTCTATTCCTAGCAACCACATAGTGGCTCGCAACCATCTATAATGAGATCTGGCGGCCTCTTCTGGTGTGCAGGTGTACATGCAGACAGAAAATTGTCTACATAATAAATAAATAAATCTTTTTTAAAAAGAACATGCTCTTCCTGAGCCCTGGCTTTAATTCCCTGTACCCACACGGCAGCTCACACCTGTGTGTAATTCCAGCTCCAGAGCTCCTGGCACGCTCATACATGTGCACATGCAGTTGGGAAATAACTACACAGACAGAAAAGCCATGCCCCAGGGAACCCTTGCTGGAGAAAAGCGAGTTAGAAGCCGGACACAGTAATGTAATCTGCCTGTAAAGGCAGAGGCAGGCAGATCACTGTGAGTTCAAGGCCAGCCTGGTCTACAAAGTTAGTCCAGGACAGTCAAGGCTATAGAGGAAGCCTGTTTGAGAGAGAGAGAGAGAGAGAGAGAGAGAGGGAGTGTGTGTGTGTGCGTGTGTGTGTGTGTGTGTGTGTATGTGTGTGTGTGTGTGTTAGGGCTGCAGACCCCAGGTTTCCTCAGGTCTGTGGAGTATGTCTCCCTTTAGCTCCCTCTAAAACAGCAGACCCAGGCGTCACCATCTGAGGTGTTTCTAAATCAAACTTTGAAAAGTGTGGGTGCTTTCTCTGTGGTCATTGCTATGCTCATAGGCACCTTGGCTCGGGTGAACGGGTGATCTCTGGACAGACGGGAGTTACAGATACTCAAGGAGTTGCCTTGATTTGAAGTGTGGTTATTGTGGATGTTGCCGAGTAGTGCAGAAACCTGCAGAATTATCCTTGCCCAATCTTGAGGCTATAGCCTCTTTATTATAATTTTCCCATAACTGTAAAAAGCTTGTATTTCTTTCTTTTTATTTCTAATTTTCACTCTATATCCTGATTGTAGCCCCCTTCCTCATCTCCTCCCTGTCAGTCCTACCCTCCCTTTCCTTTTCCCACCTATCACTGACAGGGGAGCCCTCCTCCTTTGCTATCAGGTCTCAGCAGGACTGCCTGGATCCTCTTTCTCTGTGGCCTGGCAAGGCCACAACACAGGTGGAAGTGACCAAAGAGCAGGCAACAGAATTCACATCAGAGACAGCCCTTGCTCCCCTTACTTGGGAACCCACAAAGAGACTGAGATGCCTGGCTGCATCTGAGAAGCCTATATTTCTTACCTGCGTTAAAATTCTCCTGTTCCTGCTAGTAGAAACCCACCTACTTGAGAAATAGCAATGGTATGGCCTGTGCCAGATCATTATACAGCTAGAGGAGTACGTTTGCCAGTACAAGTTAGGTCAGTCTTTGGTTAGCAGACAGTAAAACTTCAGTGACTTACCTCGCCAAAAGTTTTCACGTCGCAAAGCTCAGCTTGATAACCCTCCCAGTCCTGCTCCCTCTGGTAACGCAGAGCACCACATTGCTACCTCAAACCCCTGTCACCTCAGCGCAGGCACCACGTACTCAAGAATAGAGTGCCTGCATGACTCTCAAGTCTTACAGGCCAAGGCTAGATGTGCTGAGCTTCCCAACGGAAGCCCTGCTTTCCAGGGACCCCCCATTCACAGGGGCCCTTTTAAGGATGTGCTAAATATTTTTCTAGAAAACTGCCAACTCTTAGTGGCTCTACGGCCATGCATGCCATTCACCAGGGCGACCTGGGGAAAATGAAGGTTCTAGGCCTTCAACCCAGAATGAACTAAACTTTCCAGGTGGCACCCAGATATTTAATTTTAAGAAACCTGGTGGGCCAGTCTCAGGCTTCAAACAGAACTGCAGCCCGAGTGTCAGCACTGAGGGAACTGTGATAGATGCACTCCATTACAAGGAGAGCTAACACACCCTACGCACAGCACTGACGGCGCCTCACTAAAGTTCACCCTGACGTGATTGTTAGGCTCTCCTGGACGCCCCCGATGCCCACTGGACACGGTCAGCGTGCACCTTCCAGGGTGTCCCTCCATCATCCTGTGCCTCTCAACTCGTGGTACATCCTGTAGAGAAACTGATTAGCCGGTCTTCAGCCCCCTGCTCGCTGTCAGCCCTTTCCAGTGTGTGCACGCGTGCCCCCTGCTGGTAAAGTCACCACACTGACTCAAGCCTTTTCAGCAACGTGCTGCCAACTTTTAAAATTGTGTGTGTGTGTGAGAGAGAGAGAGAGAGAGAGAGAGAGAGAGAGAGAGTGTGTCTCTGTAGCCCTGGATGTCCTGGAAGTCCCTGTGTAGAGCAAGCTGACTTTGAACTTTCAGAGATCCGCCTGCTTCTGCCTCTGCCTCTGAGTGCCGGGATTAAAGGAATGAAACATGAAAATAAATCTTTTTACTGAAATGTATTCTGATCATGGTTTCCCCTTCCTCATCTCCTCCCAGATCCTCCCTACCTTCCTACCCATCCAACTCCAACTCCATGCCATCTTTCTCTCTTTAGAAAACAAACACGGGGAAAAAGAAAACAGATTTAAAAAATAAAAATAAAAAGCACAACACACCCATCAAAACACATAAAAACACAAAATCAGAAGACATAATATAAAAGCAAAAACCCAGTAAGATTTTAACAAACTGTCCAGGCAAAGCTTCATGAGACATCAACAACAAAAAACCTCCCCAAATCACTGAGCCCATTTTGGGTTAGCCTTCTGCTCTTGGGTGTGGGACTGCCCTGAGGTGTGGTTTGCGAACCAATTTTCTTCTCCACTGAAGAAAACTTTTTCATTTGCAATCAGTTCTCGGTTAGAGGCAGCTTCTTGGCAGGGATGGGAGCCTGTGCCCACTCCACAGCTTTGGCAACGGTCCCAATCTGGCTTGAACCTGCGCAGGTCCCGTGCGTGCTGCCACAGTCCTGCTGTGTCTGGAAGACGCTGCTTCCCTGGAGTCAGACAACCCCTCTGGCTCTTACATTCTTTCTGCCTCCTCTTCCACAGAGTTCCCCGAGCCCTGAGGGTAGAGGATTAGTGAAGAAATCCCATCTTATGACTGAATAGCCCAAGGTCTTTGACTCTCTACACGTAGACCAGCTATGGGTTTCCACCTGCTACAGGAGGAAGCGTCTCTGATGGAGGCTGAGAGGCACTCGGATCCATGGATACAGCAGAATGCTGCTAGGAGTCATTCTATTGATTCGTTCCTTTAACAGAGCAGTGTTGTTTGGTTTTCCCCTATTTGAGCAAGAGTCCCTATAGCAGGATGCAGAATCCTTTGGGCATACGTGAAAGAGTGGTAGAGCTGGGTCCTGAGGTAGATCTATCCGGAAGACTCCCATACTGACTCTCTCAGTGGCTGTACAAGTTTGCACTCCCGCCAGCAATGGATAAATGTTGCCCTTTCCCCGAATCTTTACCAGCATGTGCTGGCATTCGTTTTCTTGATCTTGGCCATTCTGACTGCTGTAAGATGAAATCTCTACGTAGTTTTGATTTGTGTTTCCCTGGTGGCTAAAGATCTTAAACACTTATGTCTCAGCCACTTGTGTTCCGATTTTTAAGAGCCCACTGTAGCCTGCTGCTTTGTTCAAATGATGGTGTGATATAGAAGCCTTCCGGTTTCATAAGGTCCCACTTCTCAGCTGCCGTTCTGAGTGCCTGTGCTGACTGTGGGTACCCCGCTCCAAAAGTCTTTTTCTGTGCCAATGAGTTCAAAAGTATTCTCCAGTATTCAGAATATCTAGCCTCAGGTTGATGTTCTTGATCGATTTGGAGATGAGTTTTGTGAAGGATGATGAATATGGATTTATTTACATTCTCCTAACATGCCTCCATCCAGATTGGCCAGCACCGTTTGGTGAAGATGCTGTCTTTTTTCCAGTGTGTGTTTCTGGCTTCTTTGTCAGAAATCAGGTGTCCATTGATGTGTGAACTTAAGTCTGGGTGCTTGATTCAATGCCATTGATCAGTGTCTGCTGTCTTTATTTCTATAGTTCTGGAGGACAAATTGAAATTGAGAATGATGATGTTTCCAGCAGCTTTTCACGATTCAAGATTGTTTTTACAAATCCTGTTTATTTTGTGTTGCCCTATGAAACTGAAAACCGTCCTATCAATTTCTATGCAGAATTATGTTGGAATTTAGAAGGGGATTGCATTGACTCTGTAGATTGCTTTTGGGAGGATGTCCATTTTCACTATATTTCCATCTTCTGATATCTTCAGTTTCTTAAAGTTTTTATTATACAAGTCTTTAACTTGCTTGGTTAGAGTTATCCCCTCAAAAAAGTTTCCAGGCCATTGTGAAAGGCCTGCAAGTCCCTGAAAATCACTGCATTTTGAAAGACACCTATTCTTCCAAGAATTCTATGTCCCTAGATGCTATCCATCAATGCTTCTGAATTCATTTATCTAAATTTCTCCCATCTACTTCTAACCGGACATGGAGCCTTCCTTATTCTGTGGATACACTCTGAATTTTGAGCCTTTTCTGTAGCTCAGGAGGCACATTCACCCACAGCTTTGCCCAACTCCCACCTCATAGGTCTCCCTATAGTCTCCCCAATGCACCCCTCTCTGTTTCTCTGTGCCGCCCATCTGTCTCTAGCTCACTTAATTTAGCTGTATTCATCTTCCAGCTACGAAGAACATCTCAGACCTGTACTGATGTCCCAGGAACACACTCTAGCCGAGAACCCGCTTCCCAGAGCCTCTGCATCTTGTCATTCAAGTGCTTCTATCTGTCCAGCCCACCCCCTGCCTTGTCCAGCCGTATCTCCACCCAAGCATGGCCAATCCTTTCGTTCTTTCTCCCACCCTGAACCTTAATAGTTCCGCTTCTGGACCTTGGTGTCTGTCTGTCCCTTGCATGAAATGTTAGGTCCACATATGCTGACTTTTCAGTCCCATTGTTTCTTCAGGACCATGGTTCAAAGGTCACCTTCTTGGGATTTCTTCCCAGACTCCAGTGTGCCCAGAAACTTGTCCCATAATCTGGGGCTTATTTCTTTATCGGCCTCTCATATTGCCCTGTGGTTTCAAAGGATCAACCTTCCTCACATGAACCACGAACACAGCAGATACCAGTATTGAGATTTCTCAGTGGAGTTTGGGAAATATGTTTAGAAATGCTCGCCTTCTAAGTGGCCAAAGGCTCAAATTGGGAGTCATTACGTATCATCTAGAGAAACACCAGAAACTCAGCCCTCTCATATCCCGGTCTTCTCGTGTACTTACTGGCTCACCGCGTGCACAGTCTAGGTGACAATAAGGCACGCCTTTTTCTGGAAGCAAAATCGTTTGCTCACTTCTGTGTAAATGATTCATCCAAACCACTTAGGCCCTTGGATCATTTCACTCTAAAGAAGGTATTTGTCACCTGACCTGAGCTCTCAGACTTTCTCAGGCTATTTCATGCAACAAAATACAGGTCTATAAAGCCAGCATGTGCTAGGGTTACTCCTCAGTGTCCTAGAGGAGACAAGTTGGCTGGGGGCTCAGGGGGTGGGGGGCTCTTGGGAGTGTTCCAGCAGCAGTCAGGGTTCTGCTCTGAAGTGACAGAACCTCCATGTGCCGACACCTGTCCTATGCCAGGGCTGCACAGGGATCTGTGCTTCCATTGGCCCCCAGATAATTAGTCGGATCTCTTCTAAGATAATTAATGTATGAATCTATATTTAAGCTAGCCCAGAAATTATTCTAGGTCTGTTGAAATGTAAGCAAAGCTGGTTTGATTAGCAAATGCGTCTTTGCTGTTGTTTTTAAGACCCTTTGGGGAAACATAAGCTACAAATCATAAACAGTGTGGGATTATTTTCTTAGCAGGTAACTAAGACATTTTTAAGGAGGGAAGGCACTTGTGGTACAGGTTCCTCTTCATACCTCCTGTGGCTTATCATCTAAATTCCCCTTTCTGTTGCAGGACCACCTGGCCCACCGGGTAAGTACCCATTTTGAATTCTCCTAGTTCAAGGACAGCTATGGGAGACTGGAGGCCAGGGACCTAAGGACCAGAAGGACCAGAGGCTGTAGAGGGGAAGAGTGAGGCAGCATCCATATCCTTTTCTGTGGCCCTAACTTGAGACCCGCCCCCTCACCAGGCCCTCTCCCTGTCCCTGTTCTAGAAGGAGTTAACGAAAAAGCAGGAAGCCATGGAAAATGGCACAGATGCTGGCTGTCTCGCTAGCTAATGGGAATCACAGCACCTTAGGTGAAAATGTTTCTAACTGTTTCTGTTTGATGCTTGGCACAGGACCCCCAGGAGCTGGTGGGTTACCAGGCCACAACGGATCAGATGGACAGCCTGGTCTCCAGGGCCCAAAGGGCGAAAAAGGAGCAAATGGGAAGAGAGGAAAAATGGGTAATTGGGCAGTTCTGCCAATCAATTCCTTTGCTTCTTTTCTCCATGACCGTTCAGACAGGCAGCACTGAGAAGTACTGTGTGGAGGAAGGGCGCTTCGTGGGCTGCACGGGGCGCTGATGGAGCCCCCACCTTGAAGTTGCTGTGTTAAGGTGCCGAGCATCTTCTTTTTGGTCCACATGTTTGTGTCAGAATGGAGGGGACAGCTTCCTAGGAACTGACTTCTTCTGCAGCTGGAGATGTACGGGGGGGGGGGCAGCCGTGTGGTGCCCTGTGCTCGCTAACACCCACCTTCACTCAAGGCTCCATCTCTGCTTTGCGTGCTGTTGCTGCCTTCTTTCTAGCTGCCTGCTGCGTTTGGTTGATCATCAAAGGACTGATGATGGCCTTTGTGGAGGATTTCTCTGACTGGAAGGGCGGCTCCTACTGCTTGACTAGAAAGGCAAAGCTCAGGCCTCCCAAGGCTGGCACTTAACTCAGGGTCTTCTCTTAAGGAAGCTTTCAAAGGGATTCCATTTCTCTGAGGCAGTTTCTCTGGCCTGTTGTGTGAGAGCTCAGTAAAGGGCCAGAGTCACCAATGTGTCTGCTGTGTGCAGGGAGAAGCAGGGGCTGGTGTGGGGCCTAACAGGAGGCCTCAGGGTCAAGGCAAGATGATTTTTAAAGATCTAGCATTACCATCGTGGGGGCCTGTGGAGATAGACTAGAGGAGAATCCTCTGAAGAAAACTGGCACATTGCAGACACTGGAAGGAGAGACTTGAGGCTCATCCCCCCTTCAGGCAAGGCCACTAGTTTTAAAAAAAAGGCAGAGAGAGGCTGCTCTTAGCCAGAGACTCCACCAGGTCTTCTGTGTGTGGCCTCTTAGCGCCACAACTCTGGACAGGTCCTGGGCTAAGAGAGGCACTCGCTTCTTTCGAATAGCACATCTCCCCCTCGAAACACCTCTCCCGGCTTCTCCTGTGAGCAGCCCTGGGGCTGCTTCCACAGATGTCAGTGAGGGCCAGTGGAGAGGGAGGGAAGTGAGGAGCCCCTCTGCCCTCAGCAAGCCCACCTATTGTGTTTCCAGAGGCAGCCTTGCAGATGCCAGCCAATGCACAGGCCTCAGCCAGGTCCAGCCAGACCTCACCAGGCCAGCAATTACAACTGGGGTTACAGAGCCAGCTACTAATTAGCACTGCCAGTGCTCATCAGCGTAGAATGATGACAACTATGAGAATGTGCAGTCCTTTGCTTTATCCTGGGAAGACACCAAACTTGTGATGGAGGCTAGAAAATTGATATTCTGGGGGGTAGGCTTGGGGTGGGGGAGCACCATGCCAGAAGTGAACAGCGGACGCATATAGAAAGGGGGCATTTTCTAAAAGATTTGGGACAGAGCCCTGGTCTTGAGGACATGGAATTAAGCAGTCATGTCCTCACACAACCACAAGGAGGATGGAAAATTTTCATCAGTTTCTGGAAACCGTGCTGCTTATGTGGCAAGTGCTAGTCTAAACGTTGGTTCAAAAGTGGCAAAGATGATTAGCCTTTGTAAAGACAAAGGGAAGGTCCCCCCCTCCCCACACACACACCCTGAACATTCACGGAAACACTGGCCAGGATAACTAACGGAAGAAAAGGCATTAACGTTACTCACATCCTGGCAATCACTGCCATCCCCGTTCAGAAACCTGCAGACCCCCTTCCAGTGATGACCATGGAGAACAAATGGATCCGGGACAGAAATTAGCGTACATAAAGATCCTATCCTGAGTTTGAATGAGCCCCAGGGACAGCCATGATCTCGTAAGGAAAGTGGATATGGCTCTTAGTCTTCTTTTCTGAGACAGATAACCCACATCAGTGCCCATTCGGGTGGGGAAGGGCACCTATATCTTTCCCGATGCTGTCTAGTCTTTGTGCAGATAACAGCCTCCAGAGATCCTCTCCTTGAGCTTGGGCAGTTGGAGGACCTTTATTCTAAGCGTGGGTTGGAAGCTTTTAATTTCCCTTATATCAAGTTGCTCAGCATGCAAAAATACGCCATGGTGGAGGCGATGGTGCTCCGAGCCACAGCACCTTCCTGAAGCTGCCACTGTGAGGGGGAGAGGCAGGGAGCAGTATATTAAGCAGCTAAGACTGCTTTAGATAAAGAAAGACTGAGGTTATCTGGAAAACCAGGCCTTGTGGAAAGAGATGGCTGGAAAGTTGCTCAGTTCTGTCAGTTCTGAGCCAGCTCAGGTTTGAGAGAAGGGAGGCATTGTCCCGGTCACCCAGAATCCGATCCTTGGATCCTTCCTTCTCCCACTATCCCTGAGCCAGTGGAGGGCTTTGGGAGAAGAGGGGAACCGCAAGGCCACGGGAGAGCCCACCTGCATCTGGGGAGCAGTGAGAGGCCCCTGAGGGGTCTCAAAGCATACCTAGATAGTCACCCCAAGTGCTTGTGGGCGAGTATGGGTGTGACCACTAAGGGAGGGCACAGGGCCTTGAGAAACAGCAACATCTAGTTAGAACTAGAGGTGGGTGAGCAACAGGGTCAGCAAAAGACTGGGACAATGTTAAGCTGGGGAGGAGTCCTGGGGGGCCAGATTTCAGCTACTAGAGGGAGCCCCCAATCTGGAACATTCTGTCTTTTGAAGAAAGCTGACATTCAACAATTAAGAACACCATGTCACAGGAGGCTATGGTCCAGACTGTTCTGAGAGAGGGGAATGTATACTTTATTATTGCTGTGATGAAACACCACAACCAAGACAACCTGCAGAAGGAAGTGTTTCTTTGAGGGCTTACAGCTCCAGAGGGATGACAGCCCATCACAATTATGGCACAGACTGTGGCAGACAGGCCGGCCTGGTGCCAGTAGCAAGCAGACATGGCAGTGAGCAGCAGCCAGGAGCTCACATCTTGACGCACAAACAGGAAGCAGAGAAAGCTAACTCAAACATGGCGTGGAGCCTTTGAAATCTCAAAGCCTGGCCCCCAATGACAGTTCTTCCAGCAAACCCACACCTCCTAATCCTCCCCCAACAGCCACCATCTGGAGAACCAAGTATTCGAATGCTCAAGACTTGTGGGAGGAATGTAGTTTAGGCTGGCCCTGAACTTATTATATATAAGAGGGAAGGGTGATCTTGAGCTTTTGTTCTTCCTGCCTCTCAGTGCCAGGATTCACAGACATGTGCCACACACCCAGTTTCATAAAGTGCAAATCCAAGGCTTCTTGCATGCTAGGCCGACAGTCAAATTACATCCTTAGCCAAGGAGATAGATACTTGAAGGAAATGGTGCCAGAGGGTCAAGGGGAGAGTGACCCGGAGGAAGGCCCTGCCTCTGTGACTGGCGGGACTTGCAGTAGGCTGGGGCCAGGCCCGTTCAGACCTTAGCTTAGCAGCATGCTGTCTCCTTGACAGCACCGAAGAAGGTACTGCAGGGTTTTAAACAGCTGTGAGCAGTCCTGTGTGACTCTGGAGGAGGAAGGGTGTTCATTGATCATTCCTGGCTTGCCAGGTGAAGTTGAGGAAGGAGAGAATAGAAACGCTTGCCAGAAGAAGAAAACGGTGTGCAAAAAGGAGCTACATTCCACAGAGATGGGGACCTGGTCAGGGCGGGGTGTGACTCTCCCAGAATCTTCTCAACAATCAAGAATGGCTGCCAAGGTAGACCAGGCACCTACTGAGTGTCTAGCACATAGCTCATTTACCTCTCACCGCACTCGGCTTTTTCTGTTAGCCATGTTCTTTCCAGATGAAGAAGTCTTCCACCCTTACCCAGGGACTCTCGTATGGTGCGCTCACTGCCCAGCTGCCCAGCTGCCCAGCTGCCCCTCTCTGGGCTACCCCTTCCGCCACGGTATCACTTCTCAGCTCAGATGCCACCTGCTGGCCAGGGTCAGCCCTTGCCCCCTACCAGGCTCTGCTTCACCCGCCCAGTCACTGTCCCTTCTCTGTCATGGTATTACCCCTTCCATGCTGTTTACGGTTGGTTGGCCACTATTCTAAGTGAGGCCCACGAGAATGAGCCAGGCCTGTCTTACCCAGGCCTCCATCCCGTGTCTAACAGAAAAAAGCTAATAAGGGAGACAAAGGCCCACATGCCTGTGCACCAGCCCTCGGAGAAACTCTAGTTCAAGGGTAGCTTAAGCTACAGCTAGACCCTGTCTCAAAAAAAGAGAAGCTCCAAAGCGAAGCAAGTTGGTCTTGGTCCTGGTCTGTCTGATTCCTACAACCCTGCTTTTATCCACACAGTGACACTCATCTCCCCTGCCCAAGGGGCTCAGGATCCAGTTGAGTACAGGCTTACTGAAACATACCATAGGTTGGTAGCTAGCGGCAGCAATCCAGAAAGGAGCCCAGGGCCCTAAAGACTGATGCCACTAATTGTGGGAGGTATAGGAATTTGAACAGCCTCCAAATTGAGCCCCAACTCTGAGACCAACAGGAAGGGCTGGGTGGGGGAGGGCTGGGTGACTGTCAGCATTCTAGACAGACATAAAGATATGCAGCTGACCAATAATGGCTTGCACTTCACAGTCGGGTTGTATAGCAGCGCTCCTTTGATGCGTGGGGATGGTGGGGGGGGGTTCTGGAAGACCTGCCTCTCTTGGGCAAGTCACTACATCCTTAAGGCCCTGACCTTCTCCTCTAAAGACAGAGAAAGTAGTATTACAACCATGTCATACTTTTTGTTTGTTTGTTCTTGTTTTATTCGAGACAGGGTTTCTCTGTGTAGCCCTGGCTGTCCTGGAGCTCACTTTGTAGACTAGGCTGGCCTCAAACTCACAGAGACCCACCTGCCTTTACCTCCCAAGTGCTGGGATTAAAGGTGCGCCACCACCTCCTGGCCATACTTTTAATTCTAAATAGTCCTCTACAGTGTTGGCCTGTGAAGGCTGAGTCTTTGTCTTGTAGATTTTACTAATCCTCTCATCTGTTAGTTGGGACCTAAATGGATGAAGAATGCGTGCATAAATGAGAATGTAGCACAGAGCCTGTCTGTCTATCTATCTTATGAACAAAATGTAGT